TCTTTTCTAGGTTATGTAGGTAATGAATTTTCGATTTGTTGTATTTTTTAATTAGTATTTCAGTGTTTGTATAAAAGGTACCAAATTAATTTTTTTTTCAAAATTCACTTTTACATTAGTTTAAAAAAAAAAAAAAATTAAACTCCTACAAGACACAAACAAAATGTGAACAAATTAAATTATTTTTTCAAAATTAAAATTGGAGTTCTGGAAGTATATTTATTTTTCTACCGCTTATTGGTCTAAATGCACGAAAAAACAACACACTTTCAACAGTCTTAACATAAATTACATAAATAGTACAGACAGGGGCGTATACAATGGGGGGGGGGGCATGTGTGGGTCACATTCCTCCATAAGAATTTTTTTTTTTAATTTTTATAAAATAGTGTTCTTAGGAAACATAAAAAAAAAATGCGGGTAAGTACATGACGCTCTGCTGTACAGTAGGTTACAAGTGGATTAGGTACTGTATAATGGATGGTATTAAATTTGAATTCAATGATAATCATTGTATACGAAAAACAATTCTGAGCAATGACAGTTTGTCAGAGTAGATATTTTATGTATTATATTAATTATATTGTTATTACTGATTATTAATATACGGTAACAAAATAACTAAAATTGTTATTCTTGGTTATTTAATATGTAATTTCCTCCAAATAACTATAAGAAAAAACTGTTTTTTATATTTTTTAAATTGTTTTGGTTACAGGATAACCTACTTACGTGGAACTTTGTTGCAGGTTTTCAATCCTTATCTATAAAATTTGAACATTTTATAAATTTTTAACTACAAAATCATTTATAAATTTTGTAAAAATAAAACTTTAAATGCTTCTTAAAAAAATTCTACCTATGTATCTATTTTTAATATTTTTCAACTGCTATTTAAGCAATATATCAGGAGCCTTGTATTCAGTTTTGAAGCATTTTGGCCCAACAAATAACATTTTATCGATATTTATAGAAAAAAAAACTAAACAAATTTAAATTTGAAATGGTCCGTAAACAGCTCAAAATATTTTATCAAGTATAGGAATTGATAAGATAAATATATGATGTAAGTGTCTACGGTTATTCGTTTTTGAATTACAATTAAATAAAAAAAAAACTACATGAGAAATCAAGTGAATATCCAATGTTGTAAAAATTTGAACTTCAAACACTCATAAAAATTTAATTTGACTTTCTTAGACATTTTTTTTATGATAAAGGTAGACAAACTAATGAGGAATCTTGTATTACATTTTCAAGTCTTAGGTTTAAAAAGAAAAATGTATGGTCATAACAATAACCAATAGCACAATTTACCAGCAGTACCATGATATAAACATCTAAGGAATAAACAAAATAAGATACATGTATAGGTATAATATATTAGTAATAAATAATAATAAGTTAATATAATATTTATATAAATTGAAAAAAGATCATACTATACTAACTATACTGTAGTATTTTACTGTTATAACATACTATTGTAACATTTTTTATATTTTTAAATTATGTAGTTATTACATAATAATTTATAAGACAGACAATAATGTCATGCTAAACATAATTTTAGGTACTGAGATATAAAATATTTGATACATAATAACTTGAGTTAAAATATTTTAACTAAGTCTCATATTGAGCAAATATAAATACCTTATGCTAAAAATAACTAAGCATGGCAAATAGTTTTAAAACTAAATATTAAAGAAGGCAGTAAATGGTTTTATTTATTGAGGTAACAATAATCTAAATTATGGGAAGATAATAGAACACAATGGAACTGTTGAACAATATTTTAAGGATGTATAATATTTGCATTAAAAATTATACTAACAAAATATTATCATTGTTATCACTTATCATATATTATTATTATTAAATTATACAATTTAACAGTAAAATAATAAATACAATAATTATTATATATTTCATAAGTGGAAAATTTAGTAAGTTTGAATAATTGACAAATTATTATTAAGTAAACCTTTTTTAAATTATTTACTTAAATTACTAGAACATGGTTACTAAAAATAATAATTCTATGAAGCTGAAAAAAAAATCATGATAAGAATAACTAATAATACATGTTGTTTGTAATATTCATGGTAATAGGAATATGCATATACATAATTTATACATTAAGTTACCATAAAGTTACCTCATGTATAAAATAATTAATACTTCCATAGTTCTTTTTTTAACAAGCTATTTAATGCTGGAAGTTAAAAATTAATATGAATAGATAATTCATTTGTACATCTATTTATTAACATTGTAAAATGTAAATGTTAAAATTATTAAATTTAGAATTTTAAAAAATCTTTCATAACATTCTTAAATAATTTGAAAACTCTAAAATACTTATTTATCTATAAGGCATTTAAATTAATTTGGTATTAATAAGTACTTTTTTTATTATGATTTTAATTTAAAAGGTAATAAAAACTCAGTATCTATAATTTGATTGTACTAGAGTTGTTTGCACATTTCAGCACTAAGACACATGATAAGTTAAATATTACATTTTATAAGAAATTCTGACTTCTTTATAAAAATTGATTTACAAAAAATAATTTTGTAGTTTTTTAACTTTCATATTCGGTGTTATATTAAATGTATTATTATAAAAATTCAGAAGTACATCATTTACACATAAAATAATAATATTTAACAATACGCATTTACAATATTAATGTTAGTAAAAGATTAAAATTTTAACAAAAAGTATTTGAATTGTATCCTAAATAAAAGTAAATTTACATCATACTTCACTTTATAATTCAATTACAATAATATCTTTTATTTTTTTATTATTATATTTATAATATAAGTATCAATAAAAACCAAAAAGAAATCACTTGAATTTGTGTTACTGTAAACTTATTGTGATTCAATTATTTTATTGTAAGTAATTAGTTCATAATATAGGATTTAATATTTAAGAAAATAATTTTATACTTTATAATTGCATATAATATAAGGAATATAATAATATTATTCCAATCCATATACAGAAATATTAAATGATTCAGTAACAAATTTAATTAAAAAATATATTGAAATGTAACAAACTAATACATTATCTATTGAACATGAAGTTGTTAAACTAAAACTGAATTATCTAAAACACCCTGTATGGTCATTATAAACTAAATATTTACGTGATCTGATAATTTAAAATAATGTTAACTCCTATTTCCATTATTTGGTTATTGAAATTATAAATAAGATATTAAACATCTACAAATAAAAAAATTCAAGGATTTCAAATTTAAATTATTATTTTATAATTTAAAGTAGCACCAATTATTTGAAATATAAATACAGCATGATTATTTTGTTTATTATAGACCAAACAATACACTGTTTTACTTTTATAGACATATTCAATATTATGTCATTATCAGAATCAAGGCTTAAGAGGATGTGCTACTGGCATCTGTTGTCTCCGTCTTACAAATGTACAACATAGCCAAAAACTGTTTTGTATTTATAGTAGAATTACCAAAATTCCAAAATGCACAGGGAAGAACTATGTCTGAGGAGTAGCGTTTTATTTTTTGGATAACATAAATACAATTAACTTTATCAGTTTGAGAACATTAGTTTTTTTTTTTATTATTTAATTATTAAAAATGATTGGTTAGTGTTATCAAAATAATTAAAAAGCTACATCACAGATAAAGTTCTTCCCTATACGTTGTGGAATTTTGGTAATTATACCATAAAGAGAGTGTAAAGTTATTAAGCGCAAAACAGATTTTGGCTATGTAGTACGTTTGTAAGACGAAGACAACAAATGCATATAGCATGTCCTTTTAAATAACAAAAGTTAAAAATCATAATTCACGCATATTAGGTCATATACAGTGACATAAAACATTTTTTATTTAAAAGCTATTGGATACTAAAAATTAAAAATACATATAATTTATCCTTATATAGAAAATATATAAATAGAGGTGGGTGGTTTGGCGGGAAAAAAAAAAAAATTAGTCAATAAGAAAAATAATAATAATTGCACCATTGAATTTAATATTTATATTATAATAAATTAATACAATAAATAAAAATTTTAATTAATAGTTTTAATTTCGTAATAATAATCCATATTGACTCACATAAGTCAAACAAATCTTTCTCCTTATGGTTTTTTAAGAATTTTAAACAATTGATGCTAAATCATAGGAATGCTTTAATATTTATTTTTAATTTAAATGAAATTAACACATACAAAAAAATCACTAATATTGTTAATAATTGCTAACAGTCGAAACACATTTTTTATTTTCTTTAAGTAGAAAGGTGTTTTTCAACTAACATAACTTTTATGGCATTTATTAAAAAACCTAAACACATATGAAATTAATTTAATAATTTGGTTTTTTATAATGGCAAAAATATCTATTAGGTAACGTTGTAATATAAGTATAGTTATGAATACTAAAAATGCAGTGAAATTTCAAAGATGTATTATAATAAAAGATATCTAAATAATTTGAAAAAATTTAAAATTTAAATAATATATAGAATCATACACAGTGATGTTAAAGGAATTTTGTTCAACTTTTTGAGATTTCACTGTATACACATATTATAGTACTAAACTGTCATGATATGTTTGATCTGAAATACCTAACCTATTTTTAAATATACAATTGCTAATAAATTAGTATAAAAGTAAACTTAATCTAAACTTATGAGTATTATAGTAAAACACTAGATTATAAAAATCATCATCATACTGCTAACAAATTTAAAAAGATTATTTTTACTAAATATTAAAAAAAAAAAAATATAGCAATTAAAATAAAAATAGTAATTAGTAGTTTCTATGGTTATTGGTTATACAATTAAATATAATCTAACATAGGATAAGATGAAAAATGACGTGTTATATACATGTGTATATAAATAAAAATATACATATTATAAATTAATACATTTTAAGTTTTAAAAATTGTGTCAAACTTACAATTCATAAAATAAGTAGGAAATCACACTTGTCGTTCTTGTTCAAAACTGTAGTTGTACTGTAACATAGTTGAATAATTCAAATAAATATAAATAGCATTATAAAAATAGTATTAAATATTATTTGCATATTTTAATTTTTTCACATGCCATGCAATTTTTGGTAAATTATTATTAATTTGTTATGTTTAAATAATTTAGAAAATCACACAATCATTTTCTATTACCACTAAGCTTTCAATATCATTAAACATAATTTACATTCAATAATTACAATATACATACCTCTAAATCAAGGTCTTTGGGTGTTTTTATTTTAATCTCTGGTATATCCTAAAAAATTAAATAATTGTATTTATTTGTTTACTGTATCAGTTTATTTACACTATGTTATTATTACCTTAAAAATAGACTTATGTTCCACAGAAATATTTTGATTCAATATAAATGGAATACCTTCTAACCCTAAAGAATATGACTGTATAGTAAATAAATAAAACACACATCTATGATTTAAAAAAATATATATATTTAATTTACCTTGATAAGAATTTAATGTAGAATAATTAGAAGATGAATATGTTGGAGGTAATTTCGGTGCTGGTCGTGTAGGTTTTAATGACATTAGTCTATCATAATCATGGGATAATACATGAGCACTAGATTCTAAACTGGGAAGTGAACTTAAGGATCCATTACTGTTTGGAATGTTTTCTGTTGACAGTGTTGGCGTTAATCTACAATATTAAATGATAAATATTTGTAAATAACTGAAAGTATTAATGTATTGTTATAAATTAAGCAGATATTAATTAACATACCCATAAGTCAATGATGGTAATGGCACATCTGGAGATTGAGGGCTAGTCTTATAACAAAGTGTTAAGCCATTTAAATCCCTAAAAATGATTATAATATAGTTTTAATAGTTAATATATTTTATAATCAATAGATCATACCCAACTAAATTAAAACCATCTGGTGCTTTCTTTGATCGACTTAATAGTATAATATCAGTAATAGCATGTGAAGCTAGACTTTTTCGAGATAATTTGTAACATAATTGTCGTTTTCGCCAGGCTTTTTGATCTTAAAATGAAATAAATATAAAAATATAAAATATTTATAATTGATAGGATAATAAGTAACAATATGATTACCACTGTCAATAGTTCTGGGGATTAAACAATAGCCATCAGGAGGACATTCTTTTTCATTTATTATATTTATATTTACTACAATGTAATCTGAAATCCCTTCTGTCTTAGATAAACATAGATATCTTGTAATTTTTCTGCCAATAAACACAGACTCTTTCCATGACTGCATATGTAAATCAGCATCTGAATCTTGATCATGTGTTTTTGATATCTAAACATAATATAACAGATCTATTTAATGTGTGTACAAATTATATAGGTAACTCCAAATATTTAATAAGCTATAGTATTTGAAGCAGAAACAATATATTATTTTAATTGTTAAATATGCAAATTGTATTAAAAAGAAATGTCAATTAAAAATAGATGATGACGACAGGTGACATCAGTCATCATAAATAATGTTGTTATTAACTCACGGGATTATATCCTGTTGGGCATTTCGTAATATCTTCTACTATACATAATCCTGATATTGGTTTATTGTCCGGAAATGATTTAAATACTTGTTTAATCATTTTTTGTATTTACAATAAAAATCACATTAAGATCTATATAATATCCAGATCGTGAAATCTGAAATTTGATGCACAATAAACAAAATTATTGTAAGTAAGTTCTTAAGTACAACATAAAGAAATAAAGAATAGAAGAGAATAAACTAAAATATTTAATATTATGGTAAACTGTAAGTCTGTAAACAATAAAAATTGGTTGGTGGGGGCTAATATGATAACGTTCAACAAATATATTGATAACATTATAGTATATCCCATGGTTTAAATATACAAGGTTATTGCACATAGCCCATATTGTTATCAAACAAAAATAAAATGGCAGCGTAAGAGTGTGGTAAGAGTACGGTTAATATCATGCATATAATATCATAGCAATCATAGCCAGTATCACGATTAAAGATATACCTATATCTTTAATATCTTTAATCGTGGCCAGTATACGTCGTCCATAGATAATATATTATATTATCTTATATTATCTATGACGTCGTCCCCTTACGCTGCCATTTTAATTCCTTAACGTGACAAAATTTTATAGTGGGTGTACTGTAATAGTAAAAAAAAATATACAGATTATATGAAAATAATACATATAGTGGTATATATCTAGTGATAATAGTGATAACAGTATAACCATAGAATGATAAAGAATATTGGAATAAAAGTATAAACACAGTCCACAGACCACAGTAAAGTTATGAGTTGGGACAAGGTTAATTAGTATTAAAATGTATTAATATTGTCTATTATTAAGTATCTAGCCACCTGCTAGGTATTAACTAATAAGTAATAATTCTGTTTTAATTCATATTTTATAGTGATTATTGTTTAAAATAAATGAAAAATAAACAAAGATGGGAAACACAGCAAGTTTAAAGAACCACGTTGAAACATCCAGAAAAACGGGTGTGTTAAATTTATCGGATAGTCATCTTAAACAGTATCCAGATTCTATTGACGTTCTTCATCCTTTTTTAAGAAATTTGGAATTGTCTAAAAACAAATTAAAAGTATTACCAAAATCTATTGGTCAATTCAAAGAATTAAAGATACTTAATGTCAGCAACAACTCGTTAGAAAATCTACCTGAAGAAATAAACTGCTTGTCAAAGATTGAAACATTACAGGTGAATTGTAACTTATTAAAGTCATTACCTCCAATGAATAATTTGATATTTCTAAAACGTGCCTCGTTCGCAGACAATCAGCTCAGTGTATTTCCAGAATTTTTGTGTGAATTAAAACATCTAGAAGCATTGGATATATCTAAGAATAACATCACTCAATTGCCTGAACTTATTAAACAGTCCAGATTGGTCGAACTAAACCTAAATCAAAATCAAATTAGAAAATTGCCATCTAGTTTAGCACAATGCCCCAGATTGAAGACTTTGCGCGTAGAAGAAAATTGTCTAGAACTGGACGATATTCCAAAAGAATTATTAACATCGTCTAAAGTGTCGCTTTTATGTGTCGAAGGGAATTTATTTGATATGAAATCTTTATTAGCATTAGAGGAGTATAGCACATACATGACAAGATATACAGAAGTAAAAAAAAAAATGTTTTAAGCTAATTTTTTTATTTATAATTGATTTTCCATTTGCATATTGTTGAGTACATTACCTAAATCATTACGCTCAGTAATTTTATTATTTATTATTCCATGATTGATTTTTTTACTTGCTTTTTGTTATTTCATATTAACATATTATTATGTATAACGATCAACTACGCACATTATTCATAATATGTTATCTTATGAGGATTTTTTAAAATTTAAATCACCAACAGTTATAGGATGGGGCCACTAATACCTTAAAGACAGTTTATGCATAATGGCTACAGAGTTAAATAATTTAAACAATAAGTATAAGTTATATTTTTAAGATCAAAAGTTGATGCTATTAGTTATTAGTTGTTACATTATTTTAGCACAAAGTGCAGAGACAAATAGTTATAGAACTTTTATAAAATACAACATTGAATTTATTGTGTTATTTTTATAAAAAAAAGATTATTTTTATGTTAATAGATTTCAATTGTATTAAATATTATCCAAAAAGATTCACCTTGTTATAAACAAATGTAAAAACAATGGAGCAATTTATTATCTTATTCATTTACTTAAGTGTTTTTTTCATTAAATTTGAGTAAATGTATTCTTATGTTTATTATACTATTATTTATTATGTTGTTCAAGACTTGTGAAATCATTACCCCCAATTATTGAGAATTATTTTTGTATCTATTCGATTATCAATAATAGGTTAATTTAAATTATATCATACATTTTAACATTTGAATATTTCTCTTATCACTTATCATTAATTAAATAATGTATAATAAATATATATAAGATATACCTAGTCCGTTTTTCTCAATTATATTATAATATATTATATAAATTCTTGAAATGTCAATTAAAAATCATTCAATACTTCTGCAAAAAAAAATAATTGTTTTTTCTCTGAAAAATATTTTTCCTTATTTCCTATATAGTATGATTACTATAATTATATTATCCCAGATTCACCGGTTTACTATAATATAGTACCTATATAATATGATTTTTCACCATTGGCTCTATCATAATATGCATTATGCATAGACATTTAATTAGATTAGGTACCTACTTGGATTTACTTTGAACATTAGACCAGTCGTGGTGATAGAAAAGCAATTGGTTCTCCAATCTCCACCCGTGTGTCTCCAAAAAAATTTATTTATATTATCACAGAACATTTAATAACAAAATATATGTTCAAAGTTAACAAAAAAATATACGATATTATTATGGCACATGGCGTTAAAACATGAGTAATATTACAAAAAAAAAAAAAAACCACAGATAAGAAAAACAAATAATAACTATGTGATCATTTAATTATCTTTTAATTCCCATGAAGTGAACCTAAAATTACGAATGATCAGCTATGATTTTATCTTAGGTACAGTTATTAATATAATTTATAATTAGAATATTTACGCATATCTTAGTTGTGTAAATTATAATTAAAATGATTCACTTGAGTTCTTTCTTTATAGCTTAATTATAAATTATGATTAAACTATGCACTGGTTTCTTTATATTTTTTTTTTTACAGTAATAACTAATAAGTATAGACAGTGGCGGAACTACGATTGTTGAGGCCCGTGGATACAATTTTTTTGGAGGTTCTATATCTATAATTTAAATTTCTAAATATTGAGCTGTTTATTTGTATGCAATAAAAAAATGTATAGTCATAGTAAATTAATAATTTATTGAATTATAATTTCGGAAACAGTAATAATAATATTTTATTTACAATGAGCAAACGTCTTCGCCAATAACGATAAGTTCAATTTTTTAGCAAGCTCATTTTCTATCGAAATCATTGCAAAACCACTAAGCAATGTTTGGGACATGGTTCTTCTTAGATAATTTTTAATTAATTTAAGTTTTGAGAATGTTCTTACTGCACTCGCCACAGTAACCGGTTATGTAGGGAACAAGTAAAATGCCGTTAATAAGTCAGGGAAACTAGTAATTAAATTATTATTTAAAAAAAAAACTATTTGCGTACCTACTCGGTAATTTAAAACAATATATTTTTTTTCTATATTTATTAATTTAAATTATATTTTAAGTCAATGTTGACCCAACAGATAAAAATTAAAAACAATAATAAATATGGCTATTTAGCGGTTATATGAGTTAATATAATTTATAATAATATGTAGTGATTCTCGATGGAGGTATAAAAATTAAAAATATTGAATGCGAGACGAGGAAAATAGTCAAGCCTCTATTAAAAATATGAATAAAATGTATAATAATATATTTTAATAAGTGGCGTCCACGACAATATAAATATATAATATATAATATAACGTGACGATTTGCGAACACGGTATAAAAATAAGATTGTCGATATGGGATTTCGCGTTCACGATATATATTTTAATAAAAGTAATATGACAACTCAAGTGATTGTACTAACTACTTTTCATCAAATTTTAAATTATAAGGTTTTTTAATTTTCTTTAAAATGTAATATATTATGTAGATGAAATATATAAATATGTTCAAAACCATTAGTTTTAATAATTAATATTAAATGTCTAGTATTTACGTAACACCAATGAGCACGATGATTGTATACGAATCACATGTTGTTTTTCAATGCGAAATAATTGTAAAACTACTTACCTAAGTAACTTGGATGTTGTTTCTGACACCAAACACCGTCGTCAAACACCCAATAACACCACTCTCTTATTAAAATCGTTGGAACGAAATGAAAAAAATTATATCTTTCTTGGACCGTAGACCGTAGTATATTATAATCTATTTCTATAATTTAGTATACCACTCCGAGCTACCGCGTATCGCCGCCGCACGTCCGCACATCGTAATAAAACTTGACAATATGTCTCGTATAATATTGTTATTCACATTAATACTATAATACTAAACACTATTATGTATGGTTATCCGTATAAACGTTTGGTAATCACTTATCAGTATACTTTGTATAATATAATTTCAGTATTCAATGATTTTATTTACTTGAACAGAAAATTTTTTTTCAAAAGTTCATGATTTTGCTGCGAGGCGCCGAGGCCCCTCTTTCACGATGAGACCTTCAAGGAAAATCCCGCCTTCAATCATATGTAGTTCCGCCACTGAGTTTAGAAACATTAGAAACTCTAATTGAATGGCAAAACTATTATTCTTAGAAATTCCAAATAATAATTAGCTCTAACTTGGGCTATTTTCATCAAATTTTAATACATTTTTATTTTGAACTGTTTTAAAAAATATGATCAACAAAATGGCTATTTTGCAACATATTAGCATCTAATTATTATACTAATTTTTAATCTCACGCTATTAAAATATGTGATCGATCAAGTAGGTACAACAATAACTCGTGGTCTTCAGAACAAAATAAATTACAGGTAAGTAACATAGATTTAATATTTTAATATTATCAACCTATATAATTATATTTAACATTTAAATTGTATGACTTCTTTTTTTTGGGAATGACACGTATATAGATACCTACGTATTATATACCTGTAAAATTATATCGACTTACTTTAATAAAGACATCTGTAAAATTTACAATATAGACCGAGCTTACACTTTTTTTAAACTTATTAGTCCAATGAGTAAAAGCCGAAATTTTTTTATTCCAGTCTTAGAATTTTTCAAATGTTTGAAAGTCGAACAATAAAATTTGGGTCTTTAATATTATAATGGTTTTTTTCGGGTTTTTTTTTTTTTTTTAACTTTTACTCCTGATTAACATCTGACCCCGATGAGTGAGATAACCAATGACTAGACACTCTAAATCAACATTTCTTTACAAACTTTTTTTATACTTTTATCATATTGTAATCGAAAACATTAGACACACTCGTAGATAAATACTCCTTCTGCACTTTTTCACCCGATAAGAGTTTTTGTTTAACAATTGCTATTTGTGAATAAGAAAAAAGATCACAATTTTTAGGGGTGTTACCTGGGCTGACCAAAACAATTAACTCAGGTGTCTGATTTATTTGAATGTTACGATGTGTTTCGGTTGTGGTTATTTTAAATTGTAGTTTTATTAAAATAAAAATGGGTTGTTATGACTGGAGCATGTATTTGAATTTGGGTGTCTCTGGCTTGAATGCTTGTTTCTTCTGGTATCGTGAATCTGTCGTCCGTTTATTTATATATGATGCTATAACGTTGATGATGCCAAATATTTGTGAATATTGTATAGGTACTTGAAGTGAGCAATAAATAACTAAGAATAAAAGCCGTCATTATAAATTATAATATATTAATATCGAACAAGTCGTATAGTAATGACCATCGAATAGTTTAATAATGAGTTATCAATCGCATAACAAAATCATACTAAACTTAGTAGGAAAAAAATCTTGTTGCCTCCTGCACAGTGCACAATCATCCATGGTATTAGAATATGAATTAGTAATGACTAAAAGTAATATTCAGGTATATGACTGTATAGTAATAATTAGTAATTAATAGAATATCTAGGTACCTATATATAGTACATCTGTATATAACAGGTACTAATGGTACTATATATTTGTATACCTATAATTATATTATGGATGATATTTATAAATTATTCGTCCAAAGATAATCTTATATTATGTTATTTACTAACGGACACCATTTCAATTTATTTTAAGTGTGCCAAATTTAAGGCGGGCCACTTCCGAAAAATATTTAACACCATCAAGCAACAAGTCCTTACGTTGGTATGTAGTTACTATGTAATAGTCAATAGGTCCGTACTAAATTATATAATATATTGATCTATTAAAATAATAATCATCTCGGACGTTTATAATTTAGGTATGTGAATATTATTGATGTACGCATTGGTTAAACACTGATAAATATACGACCATAAGCAGGGGCGGATTGGCCTATCGGGAAATCGGGAATCTTCCCGATGGGCCGGTTCTTGTGAGGGCCTGCAGGGCCGCTATAATTATTAAAATATAATTACAAAAAAAATTAATTTTTTATAAATTAAGCATAAAATATATTAAA